CAGACTCTATGTGGTACGTACTTGTTCTACCATAGGGCAGTGTTTATTTTTTCAATCAGCTGACAAAGTTTAAAGATAAGTAGAGTAAACACCCATATGCTCTTCACCTAGATTCACCAATTGTTAATGTTTTGCTATATTTACTTGCCCCTTTTGTTTATGTACATACATATATTTTCTTGTTGAATGATTTGAGGGTAACTTGCATTTGTCTTGATACTTTATTCTGAATATGTCAGCATTTCCTAAGAATCAGAAAATTCTCCCATAAACTACAATTCCTTTCTCCCACCTAATATAGAAAACAATTCATGATATCACCTAATGTCCATTTCACAATGCAAATTTCCCAGATTATCCCCCAAATATTTTACAGCTACTTTATATCCACTCTCTCTCCATTCCCAGTCTGCATTTCAGCAAATCCTATGTTGTGGTCTTTAGTCTCTGAATCTCTAACAGCACAACTTTTTAATTCTTATTTCATGACATTGACTTAGTATTATTTTTTATTTTATTTTAAAGATTTTATTTCTTTATTTGAAAGACAGAGATCACAAGTAGGCAGAGAGGCAGGCAGAGAGAGAGGGGGAAGCAGGGCTCAATCCCAGGACCCTGAAATCATGACCTGAGCCCAAGGCTAAGGTGGCTTAACCCACTGAGCCACCCAGGTGCCCCTATTTTACTTTTTTTAAAGAAAGCATATGAGCGGTGGGGTAGGGGGGCAGAGGGAGAAGGAGAGAGAATCTTAAGCAGGCTCCATGTTGACACAGGGCTCAATCTCACGACGCTGAGATCATGACCTGGGCTAAAGTCAAGAGTCAGACACTTATCCAACTGAGCCACCCAGGTGCCCCATGACATTGACTTTTTGATAAGTTCAGTCGAGTCCCCTTGTAGACTATTCTGTATTCTGTTTGGCTAATTATTTCCTCATAATGTTTTATAACTTGTTCTCTCAACCCTGCCCTTTAAAAAAAAAAACTAGACATTGTGAATAGAGGTTTGATTAGACTCAGGTTAAACATTTTTTTAGAAAGAATACTTGATTAGTAATGTTGGGTAGGTCATATTGCTTCATTGTTAGGCACATAATTTCACGTTGTCTCACTATTAGTGATACTAAAAATTTGGTCACCTGGTTAAAATGGTGACCTTCCAGTCTCAGCATGGAAAAAGATACATTTCCCTTTGCAGTTTGCAAATAATCTACAACCTGTTCTCAAAAACTTTTCATCTGATGGTTTCAATACCCATTTTAGTCCTTGCCTGAATAAGTTATTTCACTGGGACCTGCAAAAATGCTGCCCCAGCTATTATACTCTACGTTCATTAGCTGGCATTCTTCTGTAAAAAGAACTTACTTTTAAGAAAACTATTTTAATGAATCTCTCGGTGGCCAGTTGGATAGTGGTTTGCTTTCAGTTTTGTTGAAAGCCATTAGAAAACTCACGATTTTTAATAGGGTTTGTCACTCAATTATTGGGGCTGGTCACTGGTATCTCAAGAGCATCCCCAGTATTTCCAGGTGTTCCTTTGATTCCCAGGAGCTTTTTAAATTCAGGCTGTGTACCACTGTAGGATAAAGGTGAGTGAGAGTTCACCTTCTATGGTAGAACGGAAGGAAAACTAGTAGGTGGGAACCAAGAATCAGTATGGCAACCTGACTGCACAGGTTTTCAGGAAAATCAGCTTTAGAAAACGTACTTGTGGGGTGCCTGGGTGGCTCAGTGGGTTAAGCCTCTGCCTTCGGCTCAGATCATGGTCTCGGGTCCTGGGATTGAGCCCACATCAGTCTCTGCTCAGCAGGGAGCCTGCTTCCCCCTCACTCTCTGCCTGCCTCTCTGCCTACTTGTGATCTCTCTCTCTGTCAAATTAAATTTAAAATCTTAAAAAAAAAATCATACTTGTGGAAGTTGAGGATCTAGAAATTAGTTCCCATAAAACTGTGTGCTTTGGGACCTCTTGGAAAGTTTTTGTCTGCCCCAGTCTGAAGACCTCTCTAGAGTGCCGAACACTCTAAGCAAATTCTCTCATGTTTGGTTGATGACAAGTAAAGGCATAAATAAAGGAATTTCAAGAATGACTTTCAAAAGAACAGCCTGGATTTCAAGGCTTTTGTCTTGCTGCACACTCCTGTTTTGAATTTCAGAAGCTGGATATATTAATTCCTTCTTTCTTTCCATTCTTTTTGCAACTTGAAATAGTGCCACACTCCCTATTTCCAAGGCAAATTGGAAAGGAGAAAAAAAATCACATAAATCATTTTCAAAATATTACCCCAATTACAGGTATTGTGGAGTTTTAGGAGTTTGGATGGAGGACACTGTCCTTTTATTTTCTTCCAAATGACCAGGAATAAGATTGGTGATTACAAATTTAAGATTTTTTTAAAGCAGAGTTAGTATATTATACCATATGTTTTATAAAAATCCTTAATAATATTCTAGATTATGATTCTTTGAAAAATTATTATTATTTATCATTAAGCTCTGATGTACACATTCAATCATCCTAAAAGGAATGAATAATTTGGTCTTTTTTTTTTTTTTTTTTTTTTTTTTTGTCTCAAGTAATTTGAAACAATCTTTTTGATTTCTCCTATTGGAGGCCCTTAGTAGTGAACCACATCACATTACACTGACAAGTTATTTTAGTCTACTCCATTTAGTCTAGTCTAGTCCATTATTAGTCTAGTCCATTATTAACGATGCAGAATAGTATTATATAGTGTGCCTGCTCTGCAGTCAGGTTAAATAGTTCCAAAGTCTTGTTCCACACTAACTAGCTGTGCAATTCAGAGTATATTTCTTATCCTCTGGAAGCTTCAGTCTCATTTATAAAACAGGAGAGCTCCTTATAGTATCTGTCTCACAGTTTGGTAGGAGGACTGACTGACATGTGCTAAACACCTGGGACATGTTACATATTAGCTGTTTGTGTTGTTCTTGTCATTACTACTGGCAAAGAAAAGGGAGATGATATTGAAGTCACCATCCTTCTGGCTTTCTAAGAATTTCTTCAGACACCTCTCCATCTTTCCTGATAAATGAATTTTCTGAAAGCACCAAGCATCAGAATTAGCAGAGTTGGAGTCCTCTATGAGTCTTATATAGAAAAACTGGAATTAATCTGACTTTTCTTCTAAAATAAAAGAAGTAAATATGTCTTAAGATGTGAATGTTGAGCAAGGAAGGAACTTTGATTTCTTGAAATTATACTCCAGCTCCCCTGTGAAATCTCTCTCTTTTTTTTTTAACAGAATTTGCATTCCTGCATATTGAAAGTATTTTTGCCCCCCAAAAATAATATTTAGAATTGCCATGGTAAGGACTCTGAGTTAGAAACAATCGGTTTTATGCCAGCCTAATGAGACAAACGTAGAGCTTAAATTCCTGATTTGGGGGAGTCCAAAATCTATCCAAAGGATTGACCTTAAACTAATCAAATTTATTTTTATTCAAAATAATTCAGCAGCTCACATTAAAAAATATTTGTCCTTTCTCCCATAACATTGTAACATTGTAAAGCATTCGCAAATTGTTCCTTGCGTCATCAGTCAGGTGTGGTTCTAAAGCATCTCCCAATTAAGGCTGTTGGGACTTGGGTAAATGGTGTCATAAAAGTCAGAAGCCCCAACGTGAGGGGAAATTGGTTCCTATGTCCTTTCCTCCTACTCTGGGATGGCACTCCACAGTCTTTCTGTGAAGCTGGCATTTTCATTCAGTTGCACCTAAATAGACCTTTAGGGGAAAGAAGCAGTGGAATATGGGGGAATGACCATCGCAGTGTCCATACTAATTTCCAGAATGCTTTTGAGATTTAGGGTCAGCAGCAATTCAGTAAGGAAAGGGCTTACTGAATTTTAGGTAAATTTGGCTCTGAAAATGCTAATTGAAAGCCCTCCTCAGCAATTCAGTCTTTTTCCCTCTCCCTTTCTTTAGTCAGCAGGGTCCCATGGTGACCGGTTCTGAAAGAAATCATCCCCTTCAGCAGTTACCTAGCACCATGGCAACAGGGACGTCAGCAAAGCAGGATAGACCCTGCACAAAACAGCTTCCACCAGACTCCCTCCCTGCCTCTCTAATTCAGCTCTGCCTGAGGCCTAGAAATGGGGCTAAGGACGTCTTGACATATATACTAAAAAAAAAAAAAAAATCCTATGTGTTTCTGCGTTTTGTTTTGTCCATAAGCATAGATATATGGGCATATAGTAAACTGTGTTGTGAGAATTTCCCCTTCCCCCAAAACATGGATTATATCTAAGGGGTGGGGATAGGTGGTAGAATGGGGACTGGGAGGTAGATAGGCATGGGATTTGGGGTTTAATGATATGTAAAAATTATATTTATAAGGTAGCAATAAGTTGATAGTAGGGGCAGTTAGAGCCCTAATTATATAGCCTGATTTATATTTGGACACAAGACCTCAGAGAAATATTTTAAAAATATCTTTATTTACCTGAGGATGAAATAGACAAATGGTTTTAATGAATGCTGAAAGGGATGTAATGCTGTCCTTGGTGCTGAACACTCAGTTGTCTGAGACGTGCTAAGGGGGCTCCAGAGGGGAGTGAGGGAACACCTTATCGTGTTAGGGTGTTGATGATAAGAAAGAAAGAAAGAGGCTGGGAGGAAAGTAACATTTGACTTCCTACCAAGCAACCCTGAATGTCCAGAATAAAATGTTCAGATGAAAAAGAAAACAAGAAAGTGGAGAATCCCTGAGGTTTGGTTGAATTTTCTCCTTTTCATATGGAGATTTTTGGTCAGAGCCAATCAGGTCAGAGATTTCTGCTGCTTTTGCTCCTGAAAGGAAAAGTGGGGGAAGGGAGATAGAAGATGGCCACATTCTCCCCTTGAGCCACATGATCCATTTCCCATGTGACACATTCCAGAGCCTTGGAAAGGAGAAGGGAGGGGCACCAAGAGAGTGGGGCTGGGGGCGGAAAGATGGTTTAACAGTCAACCCAGCACAGCGTCATCTTGTCTTCCTACCAGGAAGCAGGCAGTGAGCCAAGGGGAAGGCAGAGGACAGAAATGAATGTGCTCCCAAGCTTTCCCGGTGGTGTATGGCATTCTCCAAACTCCTATGCAAGGGCTATTCCTGACCGAGAAGACCCAAGGAGACCGTCTCTGAAATCAAGTCCAGATGAAGGTATGTGCCGAGGATCCCATGGTATCGCGGCTGAAATTTGGCTTACAGGACATGATACCTTCTTTTTTCCAGGCAATTCGGAGATTTTTTATCCTGGCTTAGATTTGGTTAGGGGGCTTTAAATTTGTTACAGGTCTAGAAAAGATGCTTAGATAGTTCTGTAAAATGAATTGATTCACCAGAGTAAGTGCCCCTTGAAGAAAAATTGATGGAAATTATGTATAGTGATAATTAATAAAACAAAGCACTAATTGATGAAAATGATTTTTTTTCTTTGAGTCCTGGAAAGAGGAAACAAATAATATTACTGAAATCAACTAAATTTCTTTGTCACTGCCATAAAATCTTGTTTTCTCGATTTTTAGTTGCTTATTCTGTGCCCGTGTTCCCAGAGGTGATTGGCAGTGGCTTAGGGAGCCTGAGTGGGCAGGCATGCTGTTTCTTTGTGCTGTGCAATTGTCTGCCTTCTGATGTTCCTGATACCAGAAGAGCTTATGATTATTTCCGTCTCTGGTTTGGGATAGTAGAGTGCCACTGACTTCCAAATCTTACAAAGTAGCTCTCAAGAAGGATCCCAGGAAGTTCTCAAAGGAATCTTCCAAAGTTACAGGCTAAAATAATCTGTCATGTACTCAAATCTTGGTATCTTTGACCATTTCTACCCAGCACAATGAGGGAAGCTAGCAAATTTAAATTTTATTTCATCTTTAACAAATACTTAACAAAGTTCTTGCTGTGTGTGAGACGTCATTATAAGCACAAATAATCCTTCATTTAATCCTTATAGTAACCCTCTGGGGGAGGTATTAGTACTCACATTTTGGTAATGAAAAAACTAAGGCACAGAGAAGTTAGGGAATATTCCCAAGATCACACAGCTAGCAAATACTAGAAACAGTATTTGGACCCAAGAAACTTGACCTCAGAGTCCATGAGTTTAACTCCTAACCTAACCTATGCTTCTTCCCTGTTTGTGTTATTTCAAATGATGTCAGCAGTTGATTTGGCTACAAATTTTGTTCAGCTGACGCTACTAGAAGATCATATCAGCTTGCCTGGCTGAAACAGAGCTCCAGTGGAATCTATATTTATATATTAAATTATCCCAATAGTCATCCTTTGTACCCCCAAATACCCCAGTAAGTAATTGCCTGTTCTTCTCTTCCCTTTGAGCTGTATAGATATCTGGTAGTAAAATACTGTGTTACTATGGTGACCAGATGATGTCCAAAGGCAAAAAAGAAATCTAGAATTACATCATGGTTGATTTTTTTTAAATTGAACTTAACATTCTTTCATCCGCTGAACCTAGTAACAATACCAGCCTAAACATACTATCTTTAAAAAGCACTTACTTGGTTTTCACAATAAAATAAATAGATTAACAACTTCTAAAAATTATGAATACAAACTGTGGTATTGAATGGACTAGATTTGTTGCTTTAAAATAATATTACCATACTTCAAGGGAATAGATTACTCTCTTTGCAAATTATTTTAGGTTTTAAGGGAAAAAGGACTTTTTTTTTCTTAACTTCTAGAAATTTCTGAAATATAGAGATTTCTTCCATGGTCTGTGTAGTTTCCCTTCTTGACAATAAATGATGACTGATCTCATTCTTAAATGCTATAGGAAAACTAAGGGAAGTTACTAGGTTAAAGGTATAAGGAGAAAAAAAAGGGATAGAAATCTAAAATTTGTGAGATTCTTTACTAAATGAGGTATTTCCCTTCATGGTTTCACTGAAGAATACTTTGAAGAGTGGTTAGGTCCCCTACAATACTGAACTTTGGTCCTTTATATTAAACCCTGGATCCCTGCTGAAATCTGTTTCCCTGGGACAAGTACCACATTTACACTATTATAGTCTCCTGAAGTGAGCTTCTTGAGCAAAGGGACCATAGCTTCTATCGTCAGGTTTCTAGCACTTAGCACTAGGCCTGGTTTATGGTAAGCTCTCAATATCCATTTGTGGAAGTTCTGTAAAGCATTCTGCCAGGGCCTGTATAGAGGCCCATGCCTGTTTTGTTCTGCATGTGCTCATAGAGAGGACAGTGTAGTAGGAGAGACCTGGGCAACAACCAGAATTATGTCTGAAATTTATATATGCTAGTCTGACTGACTCTGGAGCAGTAGCACACTAGAGTTCAAGAAGTATCTATAAATTCTTTCCTGGGGATTATGAATCCCCCTGACATTTTATTTATCTTTAGAATGAAGTTCTCCTGGTGTTTGTATTTATATCTGGATGTAGAGGCACCCTAACAATCTCATTTTCTTGTGGCGTTTGCCTGGCACCATCTCCCAACACTTGAAATAGTTCACCTTGGGTTGAGATTGAACATGTGGAGGTCAGTTCTTGCCCCAGGCAGGCCTCTCCTAATCAGCTGTGGCTCCCAGTCCTCAGAATGATGAACCAAGAGCTCACAGGACTATAGGACTCCTCCCCAGAGAACCCTGGGATCCTTAGTATTAGAGTAGATTGGAGCCAGGCTGCCTTTCCCAATCCATGGCAGCCAGGATTTGAGTGTTAAAGATTGTCTCAAGGTATCTGGAAATGTTGCTTAGGATTTGAATTCAAGTTAGCAGGCTAACTGGGGTTAGAGTAGTCCTCTCTCGGAGCTCCTGTGTAACTCTTGATCTTGGGCTCATGAATCCGAGCCCCACACTGGGTGTAGAGATTATGTTAAAAAATATTGGAGGAAAAAAAAGTCACTTCTCTTGATAATCACAAACATACCTGTTATATTATTCCTGTCTAATTAGTCACTAAGGAGAGGAAGAATAGGGTTTGTAGATAAGGTATGGGTCCTTAAATCCTATCCACTCATCCTCCTTACCTCCAGTGTTACCTGCTCAGTGAGTTGTGCAGAAGAAAGAGCTCTGCAGGCAACCCAGTACAGCTGGGCACGAGCTGCATGCCCACCACGCTCCTGCAGGGCTGCCCAAAGAAGCCGGCCTGGTGTCCTCTACAGGCTGAGGTCTGGAAGCCTTGCTGGGCTTCCTACTCTTCTCTCTCAAATATCCAAGCTCTGCTCAACCAGCTGAACAGGAGAAGATCCAACAAAGAGAGAAAGTAGAGAGGTGTCCCTTTACGGAGAGGCCTTGCCAAGTGTGCTTTCCACTTGGAGACTTGGAATGAAAGACAAGATAGAAAGGGGGGCAGTGAGCATGGGGAGCAGATACGAGAAAGTGAGGCCTGGGTCCTGCCTTTCAGGCACAGTCACTTGCCCACTGCCAGTAAACTCTGCCACCCGAGTCAGGCCTTGCCAGCCCACTGACTGGATCATTTCCTAGCATATGTGTACATAGGGAAGGAGGAGGGGATAGACAGAAGAACCAGAGTATGGACTCAACTTCTCCTTTATGAACCAAGGCAAAAAAATGGCACAAGCTGAGAGGTGGTCTCTCCAAGAGGACAGTTTCAAAAGTAAAATAGGGGTACCATAATAAATATATTTTCCTGTTTATGGGGTCATATTCCCTCAGCTAAACTTTTGAAGCCATCATCTCATGGAGCCTCTCATTTGGCATACTTTCCTAGGCACTGGATGTCTGCATGTGAAATCCTGATAGAGATTCTGCAATATAGGTTATTAGCCCCAATTTCTGATCAGAAAACTGAAGCTCAGAGACATTAACCAACCTGCCTGAAGTCCCACACAACAAATAGAGCCAGGATCTGAATTCTGTACTCTTTCTGCTCTGTGACAAGTAAAGTTCTTTCCTCTGCATTCTTTAAAAATATATACATTTTTGGATATTAGGTTAATATAAATACAGTTCTAGAAAATTTGGGAAATGAAGAGAAATGGAGAGGTGTAATGAAAATAGGGGCACCTGGATGGCTCAGTCAGTTAAGTGTCTGGCTTTTGCTTTCAGCTCAAGTCATGATCTCATGGTTGTGGGATTGAGCTGCACGGGTTCTGTGTTCAGTGTGGAATGTGTTTCAGATTATTTCTTCCTCCCTCTTCCGCCCTTCCCCATTCGAGTTCTGTCTCGCTCTCAAATAAATGAAAATCCTAAAAAAACAAAAACAAACACACACAAAAACACAAGGACCCAGTCGGTTGTGCGACTGCTTCGGCTCAGGTCATGATTCCAGGGTCCTGGGATCGAGCCCCACGTCTGGCTCCTTACTCATTGGAGAGTTTGCTTCTCCCCTGCCTGCTGCTCCCCCTGCTTGTGCTCAGTCTCTCCCTCTCTCTCTTTGTGTCAAATAAACAAAAAAAAAAATATTTAAAAAAACCAAAAACAAGAAGTGTAATAAAAATCAGTCATATCTTGCCACCTAGAAACCACCACTGTTAAAATTTTGGTATATTTATTTCTCAGTCTTTCTCAGTACATTCAGTGATAAGGAAAGTAAACATTTGTTGAACACTCCTTTTATTTCAGACATTGTTCTTTCTTGCTTCATTTCTTGCATCATTTCTTGCATCATTTGTTTTATTCTCACAACAAATCAATGAAGTGGGTACCATTATTATCCTAATTTCATTGGTAAAGACAATAAGGACAAAGATGTTAAGTAACTTGGTAGAGGTTACACAAGTATTAAGTGACCTGAAACCCAGGCAGGCTGCTTTACAGGAGAGTTTCTCAACCTCAGCACTGTTAGTATTGGGGCCAGCTACATCTGTGTTGCGGGAGGCTATCTGACTTCACTCTAGAATGGTTAGCAGCGTCCCTGGCCTCTACCTACTGGATGTCAGTAACACCCTCCTTCCCCAGGTGTGACATCAAGAATGTCTTCAGACATTGCCAGATGTCCCCTGGGAGGCAGAACAACCTGTAAACCACAGCTCTAAGAGCCCATGCTCCTAATCACTGCATTATATAACCTCTTCATGTTTAAGATCTGCAAAAAGTTATTTTCTTCCACATCTAAAGAAGGAAGCATGCCTTCAAGTTTGGGTGCAGCCTATGAAACCTTCTGGAATATCAGTGGCTTTAGAGATCATAGGTAGGAGATTAGTTACTTCCAGAAAAATTCTCC